CCCCCCCCCCCCCCCCCACGTTTTTCCTTGATTTTGTGGAAAACCAATTTCTTTGATTTTGGTGGAAATTAGGTTTTTCAGCTTTTTTATGTTATTTTCGACAATGAAAACAAATTCTATCCTTTTAATTGACAAATTTTATGGAAAACAAAGCCAAACGAACATAAAAAAATTCAAAATTTCAATATTTTCCAAGAAGTGGAAAATTCTTAGAAAATTATACCAATCAAATACATTTAATTGACAATTTTTAATAAAACAATTTCTAGACAATTCAATTCCTTAAAATTCATTTGCTTTCCATCCAAATTTCATTTTTGGAATCAAACGTATTATAATTGTATTTGATTGACTTAATTTTGAACCTAGAAAATATTGTACATTTCCATAAAGTAGAGTTTTTCGGAAGTGTAAATTGTCTAGAAAATATAAAACCCCCCTTATAAAGAAAATGTTTCCTTATATTTTAGGAAAACATTGTCAGTCTCATGACCAACTTTTGTTAAATATTTTCCATGGAAAAAATGCCAATCAAACATCCCAAAATCAAGAATTTTGGCGAAAAAATGATATTTTCTATGAAAAATAAAGTCAATCAAACACACCGTTGGTAAATCAAGTGAGGAACTCTTTTGCATCTTTCATTCTCATCTGTAAACTTCAGATCGAGGATTCAAGGACGGTGGTGGCCACCCTAGCTAATTTTTTTATTGTCTCCTAGGAAAACTACAAGGGATGGATGGAGGATCAAGAGCTGAACTCCTTTGGACGTCAGTTTCAAAAACTCTATTACGCATTATTGTAGAAGACAGTACAATTCAAGATTTTAACCACGTTTTCTTTCATAATTTTGCTGAGTACTATCCAATTCATCTTATCAAACATATTAAAAATGGTTTGATATGCATGGTGAATCTCAATCCTAAAACAGGGTTGGAGAGCATTGAGATAGAAAAAACCATAATGGAATAAAAAAAAAATAGCAGTAATAGTATACCATAACACGAATCCGACAGCGGTCTTCTTCACTGAGAACAAATTGCAACTTCATATGCACATGCCCACCTCCCTCAAGCGAGATAATTTCATCCCAGCAACCCTTCTCGATTATCGTCCTTGTCTGAATCCCTAATCCAAACAAATAAACTAATCACCGACAATCTATTAGGAAAAGAAAATGAAGAAAAATTTGTGAATAAAGAAATGAAGAACCTGTATGAGCTATCTCATTTTCCTCAGTATCCACAAGTGCAATGACTAAATTGTCACGGAGAGTCGTTAAAGGGCTGCACAACATGCAACTTTCAGGTCCAATCATAAGAATAACATATATTTTATTTAAAAGAAGGAATACTGAAACCAATGTGAAATTCAGAATTATTACAAAGAGAAGTCTCCCATGTCCCGAGTTCGAAAAACTCTTTTTCCCATGGAAACTGCTCATAAAATATAAAGACCAACAATTACCCGAATGAATACGAACAAAATATTAAATCCAAGAATCATAGAAACAAATGGAAACAATAAGTTTGAGGAACTTACCTTTCAGGGATGTTAAGTTCGGGTGTGAAGAAGAAGGACCCTTAAATTCCAGAACTATAATGTTGAATCAAATGCACAAAATAGAGTTAAAAACCCAAAGAATTCTGCACTAAATTGCAGCCATAGTTGCAGAGAAGGGTAAGTACCTGAAACTTGAACAGTCCCTGGCATTGGAAATAGAACAAAGTGGAAAAAGAACTGGAAAAATGGGTATCAATTTCAGCTAGCAATTTCAAGACTGAACCCAATTTGAAATTATTGAGGCAAATCGGCAAGAATCTGCAATGTTTGTGCATTCAAAAAATGTCAATTTGTTTCGATCAAATGGGATTTTGGGTGTGCGGCTATGGAGAAATGAAGGGTCATTGATGGGGTCCATAAACGTCCAAGCTGTTATTACCCACCTCAAAAAGGACTCAAAAACAAATCCTACTTTTGCCCCACTCCGGCATCTCACATCTTAAAGTGGTTACTTTCTCTCTAAAATGAGAAGAACAGAAAAACAAAAAATTTGGGTAACTGTTGTTTTGCATTTTCATTTTCAATTTTTATTTTCAAAATGATTTTTAGTTTTCTACGAAAACGATCTCTTTTGAGCGTTTTCGATATTTATAATTAAAAACGATAAAAAGTCGTTTTGCGTTTTCTGTTATAAATTTTACTAGTTTTCAAAAATGCGTTTTCAAAAACGACGGACCAAATGCATTTTTCGCGTTTTCAAAGACGGAAAACGGAAAATGGGTCGAAAACGACAAACCAACCACGGCCTTATTAGTTCTTAACATGAACTTGAAAAATGTAAAGTATTAAAAGGTCAAAACCGAATCAATGATTCACTATACTTGTAATAATAGATTTCAATTCTAATGTGGAGTAAAAAGGGTTGGCTATGATCATGGTTGGATATGTTGGGATTTTTGGACCCTTTAAGGTATAAGCAAGTGGTATAAAATATTTTCAAACAAGCTTATTGGTCTAAACATTTTATTGCTATCAGCCCTTTGCAATATATTGCAAATCAACACATGCAGTTACTAAAACATTTTGTAAATCTAACTTCCTACTTTTAGATTTACCCGACATCGTCCAAAGATGATTCGTGAACAATTTTCTAACATTAGATTTAATTGTACCAAAGAATAGGGGTTGATTTTTGGAGCATCATAGGAACCTCATTGAACTTTAAAATGTTAATCGGTGGACTTTGTCAAAATGCTCTCAATCCATCACTTGTTAAGATTTCGTTAGCTGGTTTGAACGAAATTGCTTACGTAGAGACTGAATTGACATTAAATGCTATCACTTTTATTTTACTTATGAAATGAATGTTTTATTTTACAATTTTAAGATATCTGCTGAATCCATAATGAAATTATTGAATGTTATATGACTTGGAATGGAAACTTATGCTAATTGGAAACAAAAATTCATGAATGTTATAAAAATTGAAAAACTTGAGCATTTGATTGAATTACCTAACGATTCCATTCCTAACAAGGGCTTTGATCGATCTGCGATAGCGACATATGTGGAGTGAAAAATAGATGACTCAAATCTACAGACCTCTCGCATGACGTTGGGACGCTAGTCAAGGATCATTTATAGATAACTTGAACATTGCCTATCAGGAGGACAAGATTTCGGATGTTGATTTAGCCAAACCAGACTTGTGGCTCTCTTTCCTAATAGTTAGAGTTTCAAATTGTATAATTTATTTCCCGTGGTTAGCTAGTTTACCTCCATAAAGTCATTGCCAACAATATCCCATGACTTTTTTAAAAAACAAGAGACATATCCATCCGGATCAGATGACTTATCATCTCCAATGCTAAATAGAGCATCTTTGATCTCTTGTCTTGTGATGTCCCGGACTAGCAATATAGCATTTTCCTCCAATAAAATAGGTCCTCTCAAAATTTTAGCATTAAAAGATAGTCCAAAACTGCTTTGTCCCAACAAATCACTATAAAAGTGGATGAATTCCATCGCCACCTCTACTTGGGAAGTAGAATAATAACCATCCTTCCTAATTACAGTTGGAATAAAGTTCCATTTAGCATTTGGAAGTACTTAGTACACTTATCACTGTTCTTTAAGTGTACACACTTGTTGGTAATAGAAACTCATTTTTGCTTCACATAGCTTCATGGCTTCTTTCCTCAACCTTGAAACTTAACACATTAATTGAAGATTGGTCAAGTCATCATGCATGTAATTCAACTTGTGCCAATTCCAATTTTTTCAGAAGCAAAATCAGCCTTTGAAGAAATATATGCGAAGTGCTTGTTATTGAGCTTCTTAAGCACCCCTTTAATGCTTTGTAATTTCTTACAAAGTGAGAATTTTTTTGATCCCAAAAAGACTTGATTTCAACTATTAGATACCACACCATGGAAGTCCTCATGGCTCGTCCACATGTTGAAAATTTTGAAAGGCCTTTCTCTCATCCAACTTCGCCGAAAAGTAAGACAATGCAAGGTGAGTGATTGGAGAGGCAACCCGAAGGGAGGAAATAAGCAAAGCTATCAAAACCCCCTTGCATGCAAATTCAATTCGCCATGGCTCTATTAAGTTTGCACCAAATGGAGTTATTAGTCCAAGTATAGAAGCATCCAATAGATCGCATATCAATGAGTCCGACACTAAGTCAACAATTTTCCAAATCTTTCACCTCATATAGAGTAACATCAGGACAGTTGCATTTTTCATCGAACTTAAGCACATTATTGAAGTCTCCTATAAACAACCATGGTAAGGACTAAGGAGAAATTGAGGCCAAACTCCACAATATTATTCCATAGTGGCCTAAGATTCACAATAGTATGGAATGCATAAACAAAACTAACAAGGAAGGTAAGTGAAAATACTTTACAAGTGATTGAGCAATGGATAACTTGCGATGTAATCTACAATACTTCCAAATCGACTTTCATAGTATTCCACAAGACCAAAATCTGCCAGCTTGATGAGAGTGATAATTGTTAACACATGAAAATCCACCAAATTTATTCCTTATAATCCGGCTCAACTTTGACTCACCCAACTTTGTTTCCAAAGTAACCATAACATCAATATCATGTAATTTCATGAAATCTCTAACCTCGTTTTGTTTTTTTTTGGGGGGGGGGGGTTGAAGCCCCTAATGTTCCACGTTCGGATCTTCATGATGATGAAACAAGGGATATGCCCTTCTTTTTGTCTTTCATAACTGTAACCTTTCTTTGTTCCTCAAGCTTCTCTGGGCCGAATTCTTCTTTGTAAAAGTCTCAACTGCCTGAATTTGCTTAATAGCCTTTTTTTGAAGTTGCACGAAGTTGTCTTGTGTCCGAACATCTTACAATTACCACAAAATTTTGGCTAGTGCTCACAAACCAGTAGTTGAATTCTATCTTTACCCATGGGTAAAGTCATTTCCAAGGATCGAACCAAGTCTATAGATGCATCAACCTCCACTAAAACCCAAGCATAAGATAATCTCTCTTTTGTTCGATGTGACTTCATATGTAGATATTGGATTTCCAATATTTGAAGCAATTTTTGCCAACGCTCTAGGATTCCAACAATCCAAAGAAAGCCCGGGTAATTTAACCCATACCGGCATGGTGCACACATTAAAATCATCAAATTCAAAGTACTGCGGCATAGTCTTCAACATTTACGGCCTATCAAATACAAGGTAGAGGCCTCCATGTAACACCTTTGCTCTAGAAGCCTCACCTTTGAATTTAAAAATCAACCATCCACTCTCATGAATGAAGTATTGATATAGAACATTTGCAACAAAAGCCTCTTTACCCGGGAAACTCCCGATAAAATATCCAACGAGGCAAAACCCCCATGATTGTTCCACATCATCCACGTCATTTGCATCTAAGGTGATTTTATTAGGCTAGCCATCTACCTTGTGTAACTTTAGCCTTTCATCAATATTTTTTCTATCCTTAAAAAGAGTAACCCAAGAAGCAGTGGTAGCACTTTGTTTCAATTTCCTACCTTCAATTTCTTCCTTCTGAGCCTCTTGGGTTTCACCAACTAAGCTACATGAATCTGTGTCATCAGCTCTAAGTGTTTGGGAAACACTTGGTGAAGTCAAATTCTCTTGACTAAAATCATCACGAAATGCACTGGTCAATCCTTGTGCAACCTTGTTAGAATCAACACATTCAACATTTTTAGACGTATGAACCATTCCCTTTTGAACTTCACTATTGTTGGCCTAGGCAGCATTTATCTTTAGTGGTGTCGGCCCAGCAAAACTATTAGGATGGCCTAAAGCATCATTAATCTTAGTGAAAATTACACAATAACCTACCTTCAAAATCATGTATTCTAAAATCATATGAGTAGTTTAATTTTTCAAAAAATTAGATATTTTATATTTAAATATTAAATATTAATTATACAAATTTCATTTCAAAACTCGAATCAATTTCTTCTCTCTCCATCTCCATTCTCCTCTCTTCACAGCCCTCTACCCTATCTATCTAGCCCCGCACCGTCTTTACTCTTTGACGGCTTTGAACTCGAGGCAATGACACCTTGTAGCGATTATACACGATCGTTGACCATGACGATCATGTGCAGAACCACCAGAGTCCATCTTTTTTCATTCAACTTCTCCAGTGGCATCATCCACCAGGTGTTACCGACTCTCCGCAATGGTAGTGTGCCTGTCGTCACACTACAACCATGATCTGTGGCCTCATCTACTTCGACAGCTTCATCCTACATGTCGATTTTGGGGATTTTTTGGCGGTGGTGTGGTGGCAGCGATGACACTGAGTTTGGGGATTTTTTGTTGTTGTTGTTGTAGTGTGGTGTGGAGATGGAAATGGTGATGGTACTATGGTCGAAATCTGCAGCTTCGTGATCTAGTAGGTTTTTAGGTATGCTTTCAATTAGTGGCTGAGAGGTGTAATGGTGGTGGTTGGGTGGCGATGACTTTGTTGGATATGGTGGTGGCTGTGGTTTTTTTTTTAATTATTTTTTTTTCATTTTTATGACGGGGTAACTCGCGATCGCTATCCTTTGTGTGCGCACTGGATAAACTCTCGGGCAGACGCAATAGCCTGCAAATCACGTCAGTCAGGTAAACTACACTAGGCAACCTCGGTGCGACAAGCTCGATCGAGAAAGTGCTAGTAGGGGGAATCGAACTCGTGACTAAAAATCTCCGCGCTCACCTACTCCACCAACTCGACCGAGAAAGTTATTTTGTTGGTTGCAGTGGTGGTGGATATTGTGGGTGGTGAGATGGTGGCGATAGTTATGGTGATATATTGGTGGCGATGGGTCTATCGAGGTGGTGGTGGATATGGAGCAACGATGTGTTAATTTGATATGGTGATGTTGCCATCAAGAGGTATTGGTGGTGGTAGTAGTTATGCGGCGACGGCGACGGCGACGATGGTGCTACTACAA